CATTGTGAGCCGCTCGCTCCAAAAAACATCACTTTGGCGGAAGCAACGGCGTCCGGAGAAGTGCCCTAAAATCACCGTGCCGTCGATACACTCCACCTCTTTGCCGCATAATCTCCATCGATGATCAATCGGATCGTCTCAAAAAAATGCCACGAAGCTCTGTTCGCATTCCCCCTGCGTAATCCTTTGTAAGCCCCCTGTTTACGGCGATCTTTTACGCAACACGTTTTATCGTATTCTATTTTATTTTTCATTCTGGTTTTCTGGTCCAAGCGATGGTCAGAAGCTTTGGGACACGTCACCTCGCACGACGTCAAATCAAATCACCGCGTTGTGCTTTTTCGCCCCGGCCATTCCATCCCACGTTTCGACCGGATCTCCTTTTGGCAAAACAAATGGCGCGTCTCAGCGAGCTCACGTCGGGTGCTGAATTTCACTTCCGAATCTTCACCCATAATTTGCCTACGACCAATGCACCCCAAGTACTTCTACGCCCGAGTTTGTTTGACCTCAGAAGCTGGGCAGGGCTGAGCTCGGTGAATGGAATACTTGGATGGGTGAAAAACATCGGGGCTTGCGCCAGGTGCTTTTGTCTGAGGGGCCGTGCGGTGTCGAGGAGATGGCAGTGCTGGGTTTTTCTCCCGGGTTATTTTTTTGGTTTCCTGCCACGCGGGGCCAGTCAACGCTTAACGGAATTTAACCAATCGGACTAATTGCATAAGTCTCCCGAGACTCGTTGAGGGCTTTCTGGATTAATATTTGGCACTGTTTAAAAATAGAAAAAATCTGGTCAATAGAAATTGGCATTTTTTATTGCGAGAGCCAATTTACACACAATCTCGTATTCGCAAAGGGAAACCTAGTTTACCCAGGACTAAATGTCTCACTCGATATTTTCTGGAATGCTGCTGAGCTGGATTTGGAGGTGCGATTATGGCATAAGGCACTAACACTGGAATGTAAAAACACACCTATCCATAATAACCCCATATTATTATACCATGCGTATCTGTATCCCCATGAAGATATTAATAAAATACAAATGTGAAGGGAGAACTCACCGTTGCTGTCACTGTGTTTTTCTGTTTTAAGCAAGATGCACGTGCCGCGTGCCAACTGAATTTCCGGCACAGCGATCCTCTATAAGGAATGTAACGTTGAGTTGAACAACTAATTTGAGAGATCAGTCCGGCGCGGATTTGATTTTGTTGTGATGCTCTCTCCAGCCACGGAAGTCTTTAACATCGAATTTGCGGCAAGCAAGAGCGAGAGCTTTGTCGAAGCCTAACGCCATGCGACGATCCCTCTCTGCACTCTGATTCCGGCCAGAGCAGCGCCTCTAAGAGGCGATCTGTTTGCACGAGGATGGTCATTTTTCGCACGGACGAGCTCAAAGGGTTGGGCCAGGTGTTTTTTTTTTTAAGCGGCAACATTTTTGAGAGCGCAACGCGTGTTGTTATCTCACGGGCACATGGCGCGCACAGGTGCGTCGCTCCGCACATTAGACGGCAAATTAGGCAGCGTGATTAACCACGGGTGTCCGTGGCTTGTTCCACCCTTTAAACAACTCCGGCGAACGTTATCGGGGCGGTTCAGCACTCCGAGACGGTGCATTTTTTTGGCAGGCGAAGGACAAAAAAGCGCGCGACATGTGTACATCTGCTCGGTGACCTATCTGTGGTCAGTTAATTACGTTCGATCAATTCCGCACAATTGATCTGCCATTCATCAATCGGTTTTGCCGTAATTACACAACTTTGCTTAAATATCAGCGCGAGCAAGCTGCAAAACGCCTCGTTCCCCAAGCTCAGAGGTCGCCGCTATTTATAGGCTGGGGGTGAAAACAGCCCCACGTTTCTTTCGCTGTAAAAAACAAATTGCTAGAAAATCATGAAAGCGTACACAGCTACCGCATATATACATTTATATAATACACGTATACTCGAGAAGTCTTGCAGCATAACAGAGCGAATAAAATTATATTAAAATGTAAATGCGTTATCTCTCTCGCTCGCTCGCTCGCTCGTGCTTAATGAGCCTTCATTCATCGTTGTGCCGCGCAGAGTTCACCGATGGCGGCCGAGAAGATCACAGTGGAACCACAAGCTGCCCGTCTCAGAAAGTTCATTCGCGGATCGGAAGGAGCCCACAGGACCTGACCATGCCCTTCGCTTACCCCGCCGCGATTCCGTCGTCAGCGACGGCCGCCTCGTCTCAGCTACCAAGTTCGGTTTTTTTGTTTGTTTTGTTTCCCAGGTCGGGCCGCGGATTGAGGAGCCCTTCGACTCGAGCCGTTGACACGCACGCCAGTCGAGTTGAATGTGGTCGCGGAAAATCACACTTGGCAAACGTTTGGACTTCCCCTGCCCAGGAAAGTTTTGGAAGTAGTTTTGATTATGATTGAAATTGCTCGATTCGTCCCATTCCAGAGCGCTTGGAAGGAAGACTTTGAAACGATCTGTCCGTGAGGAAAGAGAGTGTTCTGCCCAGTTCAAAGCTCCAAAAAAACAACACGTGGCAGGTTAATCATCATACTCAGCAGCAGTCCTTGGCGTGAGGTTATCTTCTTCGCCTGGTATGCAGGAGCACGGGGGTTCAATCCCAACTCTGACGCCTGTATATGTGGAGTTTGTACGTTCTTCCCGCGGTCGTGTGCCTTTTCGTGTTCTCTGTGTCCTCCGGTAATTCCCTCCACGTTTATAAGCATGCCATTAGATTATTTAGAAATGTTGGCTGCTATAAATTACCCATGATAAGCCACTTGGTCGAGCTATCAATTGTGGCAATGTCGCTTCTGAAAAAGAAGCTAGGGGCCGTCCATAAATGACGTCACTTGATTTTGGACCCCCCCCCATCGTCACACGGCGTCACAAAACGTCAGACCCACCCCCCCTCAAATATGACGACGTCACAAAGCTCTGCTTTCGTGCCGTACATAGCCAACCGTGCTAATCGGAGGTGCGGGGGAAGGACAACAAACCTAACACAAAAACACAGTTCTAAAAAATTGAGTTTTAAATCTAGTTTAAAAATATATAAAAACAGAATTGAAAATATTGTTTTCCGGTAGAATGAAACATCCTCATTATGATTGCAGACAATATCACGTTTAAAATGCACTTGTCCCGTGATTGCGTAGAATCGTGGACACGGCGACAATCTGTGATCATCTAAATGTGTTCACACGACCACGAGATGCTGCTATGACACATCAAGACAAAGATCCCCCGTATAGCCTTAAACAGACTGTCGGGGCAAGTGCTGTTAGTGAGCACCTATGAAAGCCGGCAGGGCAAAAACGAGGTGGTGGCTTGCCAACACCACACCCGGCCAGGTACTCATTTAAGGCCGAGTCGACATAGGGGAAGCCCAGGACCGGCTAAAATCTTCACCACTTAATTGATCATGAACGGGAATCGAACTGGGTCGCCGGGTTTGCAATACAGCTCCCCGACCCATCCACGACCACAGCCCAACCGTGTCACAGATGCAACTACACACACACGCAACAAAAACCAGTACTACACCTGTGCACAAACAAACGTAAATAAATCGATACGTAATTTCTTTCAGTCTCTTTATATATATAAAACAAAATTTCTATGGAACAAGAAATGAAGCTATAAACGCGCCCTTTGCGCTAACATTTTCGTTGTGGCCTTTCGCTGGATGCACCCGGAGCGATGCAGCATTTCAACGTCTCTCTCGCACGGCGGCAACCGCTCGCAAACGACGGCTAAAAATAAAGGACACGCGCAAAGAATCGCCAACCGGTGCAACCGAGCAATTCGCTTTGTTAAATATCACAGTTGAGCCCCCCCCCCCCCCCCCCACGTTCGTGCTTTCTACTGGAATCTTGTTCAATCTATATATATGAAAGGGAAATTTGTGAATGTGTGTGTCTGTTCAAAATGTTGAGCATACTTCCCAACATGCAACAAACTTGCAATTTGGCATTTGGGTAGCTTCCAGACAGTACACAATGCAAAAAGTATAAAAATAGACTTTTGAATTTTGGGAGAGGGGGGGGGTGCAATAATGTATATGTTTTGCACGGCAAGTGAGCGGTGACGTCACATCTGTGATGTCACCCGCATGCGGCAGCGTCACGCATTGTGCCTCCTGACGTCATGCTCCCCCCCCGCCCCCCACCCTCCGTGTAGGCCGTGTATTAATCCAAGACAAGAATCCAAGTCTCGGGCGAAGCCGGGTAGTAAAGCTAGTACAAAATAAATTCCACAATTTGGCCACGGCTCCCATCGCGAGCCAGGCCCCCCCACCACGCATCCCAAACGCTCTCCCCCTGTGGTGCGGCGTTTCTAAAACTTCCACACTCGAGGTGTTTTGGGGTAGATCGCGTAAATGTAAATGCTGTGTCGTTAAATCCACCACCACCACCACCCGACACAGACAATTAGTAATGTTTGTCGCGGAAACAGGACATTCCAATTCGTTACTGGTACAGTACACCAGTGTGTTGGAGAGAAAATCCACAACATTTATAATCTTCTTTGGTTCTTTCGGTAAAGTCACGTAGAATGAGAATAAAATAATAAATTGATAAAATAAAATAACACAATAATATTCTCACGACCTTTCGGCCACAACACAAGCGGCCTTCATCAGGTGAAGGGACGAGACTGTCTGGTAGGACAGCGCTGATGAAGGCCGCTTGTGTTGTGGCCGAAACGTCGTGAGAATATTATTGTGTTATTTTATTTTATCAATTTATTATTTTATTCTCATTCTACATGACTTCACCGAAAGAACCAAAGAAGATGAATCCTTGCAGTCACTAAAGCTTTAAATCGAAACATTTATAATCTCAGTACGACGTTTCGCCAGTAAGGAAAAACCGGCATCATCAGGTGGACATCAGCCAGATTTGTGGAAAAATCTTCCTCCTGTTCAGCTCCTTAAACAGAGGGGTAGGTGTGATGACGTCACGTGTGCGCCCTTCACGTGCGAAGGGGGGGGGGGGAGATTAATAGTAACTGCTGATAAACACCATCAACCCAATAAACACCATCAGCCCAATAGACACCATCAGCCCAATAGACACCATCAGCCCAATAGACACCATCAGCCCGATAGACACCATCAGCCCGATAGACACCATCAGCCTGATAGAAACCATCAGCCCGATAGAAACCATCAGCCCGATAGACACCAGCAACCCAATAGACACCATCAACCCAATAGACACCATTAACCCCATAGACACCATCAACCCAATAGACACCATCAACCCGATAAACACCATCAACCCCATAGACACCATTAACCCCATAGACATCATCAACCCAATAGACACCATTAACCCCATAGACACCATCAACCCCATAGACACCATCAACCCCATAGACACCATCAACCCAATATACACCATTAACCCAAAAAACACCATCAACCCAATAAACACCATCAACCCCATAGACACCATCAGCCCAATAGACACCATCAACCCCATAGACACCATCAACCCAATAGACACTATTAACCCCATAGACACCATCAACCCCATAGACACCATCAACCCAATATACACCATTAACCCAAAAAACACCATCAGCCCAATAGACACCATCAGCCCAATAGACACCATCAACCCAATAGACACCATCAACCCAATAGACACCATTAAACCCATAGACACCATCAACCCAATAGACACCATCAACCCGATAAACACCATCAACCCCATAGACACCATCAACCCCATAGACATCATCAACCCAATAGACACCATTAACCCCATAGACACCATCAACCCCATAGACACCATCAACCCCATAGACACCATCAACCCAATATACACCATTAACCCAAAAAACACCATCAACCCAATAAACACCATCAACCCCATAGACACCATCAGCCCATTAGACACCATCAACCCCATAGACACCATCAACCCAATAGACACTATTAACCCCATAGACACCATCAACCCCATAGACACCATCAACCCAATAAACACCATCAACCCAATAGACACCATTAACCCAATAAACACCATCAACCCAATAGACACCATTAACCCCATAGACACCATCAACCCAATAGACACCATCAACCCCATAGACACCATCAGCCCAATATACACAATTAACCCAATAAACACCATCAGCCCAATAGACACCATTAACCCAATAGACACCATCAACCCAATAGACACCATCAGCCCAATAGACACCATCAACCCCATAGACACCATCAGCCCAAAATACACCATTAACCCAATAAAAACCATCAGCCCAATAGACACCATTAACCCAATAGACACCATCAGCCCAATAGACACCATCAGCCCAATAGACACTATCAACCCAATAGACACCATCAACCCCATAGACACGATCAGCCCGATAGACACCATCAGCCCAATAGACACCATCAACCCCATAGACACCATCAACCCCATAGACACCATCAGCCCAATATACACCATCAACCCCATAGACACCATCAGCGCAATAGACACCATCAACCCCATAGACACCAACAACCCAATAGACACCATCAACCCCATAGACACCATCAACCCCATAGACACCATCAACCCAATATACACCATTAACCCAATAAACACCTCAACCCAATAAACACCATCAACCCCATAGACACCATCAGGCCAATAGACACCATCAACCCCATCGACACCATCAACCCAATAGACACTATTAACCCCATAGACACCATCAACCCCATAGACACCATCAACCCAATAAACACCATCAACCCAATAGACACCATTAACCCAATAAACACCATCAGCCCATTAGACACCATTAACCCAATAGACACCATCAGCCCAATAGACACCTTCAGCCCAATAGACACCATCAACCCCATAGACACCATCAGCCCAATATACACCATTAACCCAATAAACACCATCAGCCCAATAGACACCATCAGCCCAATAGACACCATCAGCCCAATAGACACCATCAGCCCGATAGACACCATCAGCCCGATAGAAACCATCAGCCCGATAGACACCATCAACCCAATAGACACCATCAACATAATAGACACCATTAACCCAACAGACACCATCAACCCAATAGATACCATCAACCCAATAAACACCATCAACCCCATAGACACCATCAACCCCATAGACACCATCAACCCAATAGACACCATTAACCCCATAGACACCATCAACCCCAAAGACACCACCAACCCCATAGACACCATCAACCCAATATACACCATTAACCCAATAAACACCATCAACCCAATAAACACCATCAACCCCATAGACACCATCAGCCCAATAGACACCATCAATCCCATAGACACCATCAACCCAATAGACACTATTAACCCCATAGACACCATCAACCCCATAGACACCATCAACCCAATAAACACCATCAACCCAATAGACACCATTAACCCAATAAACACCATCAACCCAATAGACACCATTAACCCCATAGACACCATCAACCCAAGAGACACCATCAACCCCATAGACACCATCAGCCCAATATACACCATTAACCCAATAAACACCATCAGCCCAATAGACACGATTAACCCAATAGACACCATCAGCCCAATGGACACCATCAGCCCAATAGACACCATCAACCCCATATACACCATCAGCCCAATATACACCATTAACCCATTAAACACCATCAGCCCAATAGACACCATCAGCCCAATAGACACCATCAGCCCAATAGACACCATCAGCCCGATAGACACCATCAGCCCGATAGAAACCATCAGCCCGATAGACACCATCAACCCAATAGACACCATCAACATAATAGACACCATTAACCCAACAGACACCATCAACCCAATAGACACCATCAACCCAATAAACACCATCAACCCCATAGACACCATCAGGCCAATAGACACCATCAACCCCATGGACACCATCAACTCAATAGACACTATTAACCCCATAGACACCATCAACCCCATAGACACCATCAACCCAATAAACACCATCAACCCAATAGACACCATTAACCCAATAAACACCATCAGCCCATTAGACACCATTAACCCAATAGACACCATCAGCCCAATAGACACCTTCAGCCCAATAGACACCATCAACCCCATAGACACCATCAGCCCAATATACACCATTAACCCAATAAACACCATCAGCCCAATAGACACCATCAGCCCAATAGACACCATCAGCCCAATAGACACCATCAGCCCGATAGACACCATCAGCCCGATAGAAACCATCAGCCCGATAGACACCATCAACCCGATAGACACCATCAACCCAATAGACACCATCAACATAATAGACACCATTAACCCAACAGACACCATCAACCCAATAGACACCATCAACCCAATAAACACCATCAACCCCATAGACACCATCAGGCCAATAGACACCATCAACCCCATGGACACCATCAACCCAATAGACACTATTAACCCCATAGACACCATCAACCCCATAGACACCATCAACCCAATAAACACCATCAACCCAATAGACACCATTAACCCAATAAACACCATCAGCCCATTAGACACCATTAACCCAATAGACACCATCAGCCCAATAGACACCTTCAGCCCAATAGACACCATCAACCCCATAGACACCATCAGCCCAATATACACCATTAACCCAATAAACACCATCAGCCCAATAGACACCATCAGCCCAATAGACACCATCAGCCCAATAGACACCATCAGCCCGATAGACACCATCAGCCCGATAGAAACCATCAGCCCGATAGACACCATCAACCCAATAGACACCATCAACATAATAGACACCATTAACCCAACAGACACCATCAACCCAATAGACACCATCAACCCAATAAACACCATCAACCCCATAGACACCATCAACCCCATAGACACCATCAACCCAATAGACACCATTAACCCCATAGACACCATCAACCCCATAGACACCACCAACCCCATAGACACCATCAACCCAATATACACCATTAACCCAATAAACACCATCAACCCAATAAACACCATCAACCCCATAGACACCATCAGCCCAATAGACACCATCAATCCCATAGACACCATCAACCCAATAGACACTATTAACCCCATAGACACCATCAACCCCATAGACACCATCAACCCAATAGACACCATTAACCCAATAAACACCATCAACCCAATAGACACCATTAACCCCATAGACACCATCAACCCAATAGACACCATTAACCCAATAAACACCATCAACCCAATAGACACCATTAACCCCATAGACACCATCAACCCAATAGACACCATCAACCCCATAGACACCATCAGCCCAATATACACCATTAACCCAATAAACACCATCAGCCCAATAGACACGATTAACCCAATAGACACCATCAGCCCAATGGACACCATCAGCCCAATAGACACCATCAACCCCATATACACCATCAGCCCAATATACATCATTAACCCATTAAACACCATCAGCCCAATAGACCCCATTAACCCAATAGACACCATCAGCCCAATAGACACCATCAGCCCAACAGACACCATCAACCCAATAGACACCATCAACCCCATAGACACCATCAGCCCGATAGACACCATCAGCCCAATAGACACCATCAACCCCATAGAAACCATCAACCCCATAGACACCATCAGCCCAATATACACCATCAACCCCATAGACACCATCAGCCCAATGGACACCATCAACCCCATAGACACCATCAACCCAATAGACACCATCAACCCCATAGACACCATCAATCCCATAGACACCATCAACCCAATATACACCATTAACCTAATAAACACCATCAACCCAATAAACACCATCAACTCCATAGACACCATCAGCCCAATAGACACCACCAACCCCATAGACACCATCAACCCAATAGACACTATTAACCCCTTAGACACCATCAACTCCATAGACACCATCAACCCAATAAACACCATCAACCCAATAGACACCATTAACCCAATAAACACCATCAACCCAATAGACACCATTAACCCCATAGACACCATCAACCCAATAGACACCATCAACCCCATAGACACCATCAGCCCAATATACACCATTAACCCAATACACACCATCAGCCCTATAGACACCATCAGCCCAATAGACACCATCAACCCCATAGACACCATCAGCCCAATATACACCATTAACCCAATAAACACCATCAGCCCAATAGACACCATTAACCCAATAGACACCATCTGCCCAATAGACACCATCAGCCCAATATACACCATCAACCCAATAGACACCATCAACCCCATAGACACCATCAGCCCGATAAACACCATCAGCCCAATAGACACCATCAACCCCATAGACACCATCAACCCCATAGACACCATCAGCCCAATATACACCATCAACCCCATAGACACCATCAGCCCAAAAGACACCATCAACCCCATATACACCATCAACCTAATAGACACCATCAACCCCATAGACACCATCATCCCCATAGACACCATCAGCCCAATAGACACCATCAACCCCATAGACACCATTAACCCAATAGACACCATCAACCCCATAGACACCATCAGCCCAATAGACACCATCAACCCCATAGACACCATCAACCCAATAGACACCATCAACCCCATAGACACCATCAGCCCGATAGACACCATTAACCCCATAGACACCATTAACCCAATAGACACCATCAACCCCACAGACACCATCAACCCAATAGACACCATCAGCCCCATAGACACCATTAGCCCAATAGACACCATTAACCCAATAGACACCATCAACCCCATAGACACAATCAGCCCAATAGACACCATCAACCCCATAGACACCATCAGCCCAATAGACACCATCAGCCCAATAGACACCATCAACCCAATAGACACCATCAACCCCATAGACACCATCATCTCAAACGTCCACGGACCCCCCGCCCCCAACCACACCTGGTAATAAAACGCATTCGCATGTCTCTACATACCAGGAATAACAAAAAAAATATGTTATGGGAACATAAAAAGGGATTTTTTTTGCTAGTTTTTTTTAAGGGGGTGGTATTTAGATCTTAGGTTTAGGGTATTTTAATCCGGGTTGTTTATCGAAACTGAATTTGCATATGAAATTGTCAAAAGTTAAATGTACGCATTAATGTCAGAAACAAAAAGGTATTAACCATTGTCATTGCTTCCGGATCTGCCTGTATTTGCATCACAGCCGCGGTAACCACCTGAAGGAACACTTCTTCTCATTATTAATTCGTGCGGCTGATACAGACGCAGAGCAACAGCTGCACTTTCACACCCGGGCGGGTTCAAGCCAGACGACCGCGTCAGAAGCAGCGTGGATCTCTCCTTCGTATCTGTGGATCAGGCCATTGCGTCGTGATGCGTTGTACGGCCTCCACTCTGGATGACCACAGCACGCACGCCCTGCACTCGACGGACAGAGTTAGATCCGCCCCTTCCACCCTCCACCCGCTCGTTTTGTAATTCTGAATCGCACAAGCCACGGCCGGAATTTTCTAACTACTTCGATTTTACCAGGTAAGGCACACTGAGCTGCACAGCTTTTTTTTTCAGAAGCCACCCGGCTATCACAAATGGTAGCGGAGTGGCTTGTCGCGTGGACAATTACAGCAGCCAAATGTTCTGAACGTGCGTTGATTCTAAATGCGGAGGGAAAATCCCGAGGACTCGAAGAAACATCCACGCGACCACGTGGAGACAGACACGCAAACTCCAAATATACAGGCGTCATGGTCGGGATTGAACGCGCGACCTCCTGCATACCAGGCGAGGGAGTTAACATCTCGCCACAGCGGCTGGCACCACGACAGCCGCTGCGTAAACATCGGCATGGCCTTTGGGCCCTTCCCAGCCGCCCGTATGATTGTGTAATGACAGTAGAGTCTACCTGCGGTGTGAGTGGACTAGTGGCCACGGGAGGTAATGATAAGGGAGTCAGCCTACAGTGCGAATGCACTAGTGGCCACGGGAGGTAATGACAGGGGTGTCAGCTGTGAGTGCGAAGGGACTGGTGGCTACGGGAATGATCGAGAAGGGGCGCGTGATCAGGTGACGGAAGAGGACGGTGGAGTCTGCCGGTGGAGCGAACGTCCAGAGTCAGCGAGAAGGTTCGGGAAGGGGGGCGTCAGCTCGGTCCGTATATAAGTGAGATTCGCGGACGACTCGGTGAGTGGGGGGGGGGGGGACCTCGTGGCTCAAACGAATGTCACTCAATTACAGTTCATTACAAGAACAAATCATGGGAGCGCACGGCTCAGTTAAGCTGTGTGCGAATGAAGGTTCCTGGAATCGGCAGAGGCAACATTCCGATGTGTCCAGAAAGGCAATTTTGGAATTCCGCGTGCGGCCAATTCCTTTTGGGCTCTTTCTCAAAGAGCCTTTTCAAATTCTAGATTTAAAGCTCCAGCGCTGTCCTCGAGACAGCCTGATCCCTTCACCTGATGAAAGCCGCTTGTATTGTGGCCGAAACGTCGTTATTTTTTGTTGTTTTACTTTTTACCTACGTGACTTTACCGAATAGAACCAAAGAGTATGGAGCCTTTTCAAAGTAAGAGAGGGATGTCAATTAGGAGATGAAAGGCCACTAGGAGGACGTCTGATGGCTGATTGAAGTGAAACTAAACACATAAACAAATACAAATACATAAACGAAGGTGCCCCTTGGGGAAGAATAATAAACAAGTCCGCTCGCGTAACCAGCGAGCGGTGCCCGTGCGCCCGTAGCACGGAGGCAGCGTGGCGCTCGGCCACGTGCGGAGCGAAAGAAGGTCAACATGCACCCACGTCAACCTCAAATCTCCGCGCCTTCTTCCGAGAGTTTGCCGACAATTTTGTACGCTTGCACGTTCGCGCCGTCCTCGTAACCGCGAGGCAATCGCCAAGGGCACCGCGATTCGCGCGTGTAAGCCTGCTCCAGACCCACCGCTCCGCAGGGGCAACGTCGCGCCGCGTGCAGTCCTGAGAAGAGGGGTCATTCTCGGTGCGCATTCTTTGCTCGTGTTTACATTTTGGCAAGGTTGGACCCTCGTCGTCGGCACAGTGGTGTTGGTGGGGGGGGGGCTCCCGCTCGTTCTCACACGACGTCACGGGTTCCGGAACGTACGCCGCAAAGCAGACGGTTTCGCGGCGTCCTAACGGTCGACGCTCTCGCCGCAGTAATAACCGGGGCGTGGGCCGCCCCGGCTGCATTCGAACCGCGAACCCCCTGCAACAAGTGGCGATCGCTCAGCTGCCGCTGGGCCGCATCACCGCAACCCCAGCACCACCACCACGCCTCTCCTGTCAGTAAATCCATGGCGGACCCTCTTCTCAAGTATTGAGCCTCATTCCGTCCTGCTATTGATTTCGCCTTTGCCAATAAAAAGAAAACAATTTTCGATTTAAAGCTTTCGTGACCGCAGGGATTCATATTCTTGGTTATTTCGGTAAAGTCACGTATTATTTGTATGAAAACAACAATTGTGGGGGTTTTATTTTTTTTTGGTTCTTCCAGCCCACCCTGCCTCTTGGTTTGTACCCGCGCCGTGAAAATCGTGGTCACCCATTCACAACCCCGCACGTCGTCCAGCCCGCTTTAAATTGAGTGCGTTTTTAAGTTTGAATGTCAGTCGCTCTCCACTCCCCAGGTCTGCTTAATGGTGATTTGGTTTACAATGTGTCGCTCCTTCAGTGGGAAACTTTTAATGAAAGATTATTTTTTATTGCAACATACTGAGTGCAGGAAATGTGCTTTGTTTGTAAAGAAATTCAATAAATCACTTTTCATTCTGTATTTCCACGTAAAAAATACTATGAGGTTTTTTTTTTCAATGTGAACCAACAGGATTTAAACACGCAAACTCTGGGCCAGTTTTGACCTTCATGTGCTCAGCAGCAAAGTCTGGCACGCTAAACAAAATACTGCTAGTTTCCTAGATGGTATAGGTGAGTGCACCTTCTCGTTATTATGCACGCAATATAAGCTGTGGCGGCGAGGTGTTAACTACCTCGGTTGATATATAGGAGGGCATGGGCTGGATCCCGACCCTGACGCCTGTATATTTGGAGTTTGCATGTGTCTCTCCTCATGGTCGTGTAAGATTTTTCTCCGGGTCCTACGGTTTTTCTCTCCACATTTACAAGCAACACGCATTTAGAATATTTGGCTGCTATACAGTAAATGTCCACATGATAAGCCACTTTGTTAAGCTATCATTTGTGGCTAGGTCGCTTCTCAAAAAGAGCATTATGGCTCATGGGCCTTACCTGGAAAAATATAAAGTGATAGTTATTATAGTTATATAAATGTAAGTGCAATTTATTATGTAATGCAGAAATATCGGGTGCTATTTCAGGTCAAGGGTCTTTAAAAAATTGGTAAAAATATCCCAGCCATAACAAACATATGTTTGCCTCTGTAAATCTGTTATTTGTTATAATTTATTGTGGTTGGGTAATGAGTGGATGTTTCCCTGCTCATGCCATCCATTTGGCATGAGCAGTTCACTCACTGCACTAAAGGGATGCCTCTGCCTGCGCTAATGTGAGAACTTGATGTGGAATACAAACCTAACTCCAGACTTAAAACTTTATTTTGGCAAGGCACATTGAGCAAAGCAGCTCTGTTACAAGGACAAGCACAGCCAAAGAACGCCGGCAGTGGCGATAATTACAGGACATTGCGGTCACATGCAATTACATAGCCACGGAGTTCGATAGAGAGCCATGGAGTCACATAGACACTCATAGAGTTACATACAGACGCATAAAGTTGCACAGAGACGCACGAAGCATTATTTAATTTTCCAGGTCAGGCCCGCTGAGTTATATAGCTCTTTTTCAAAAGTGACCTGGGCACAAATGATAGCTCAACAAATTGGCTAATCATGTGGAAATTTATAGCGGCCAAGTGCTCTTAACACGCACGTGGATTCTATATGTGCAGGGAAAAATCGGAGGACCCGGAGAAAAATCCACGCGACAGCAGGGAGAGACACGCAAACTCCGAATATACAGTCGTTCGGGTCGGGATTGAACCCACGACCTGTATACCAGGTGAGGTAGTTAACATCTCGCAACCGCGGAAAACGGTGCTCACACTATGGCAGTGAGTCGTAAGTTATTATAGTCTTGGTAACAATGGTCTTCATTTACCCAGAAAAGCCTCAATGAACCTCAAGACTCCTCTTAATGAGGGTCCTGTATTGCAATTTGTTTTGCCAATACAATTAAATGAGTGGCTTTGTGAGAGGAAAGCGAAGCACCATGCATACGAGGGAGATAACTCTTGAAGATCCTCACAGATGGATCTCTTGGCCACCTCCCAGCATTGGTGGAAGCTTTCGTCCAGCAGCAGAGTGAGCATGCCCTATGTTTGATTTCCATATGAGATTTTGAATAATAATATTTAACAGAAGCAGAAATCAGTGGAGGGATTTTTTTTTTACTCCCCCCTTTAGAATCGCATTCTTTTCTCTTGTGTTTTTGCAAAGAGCAGACACACAATGCACTTTGCTGGTGAGGTGGCGACCTTGAACTGGCGGGGGTGATGCGGCTGAATGGAGACCCCCCCCCCCCCCCCCCGGGTGAAGCTGTGAAGAATGTCGCCGCAGCTGTGGATGACGGTGGAGCTGATCTTGACGGCGAACATTTGCCCCACTTTGCTGTGATGATAAGGGGGTGTGGGGAAATGAAGCCGCCGCCCCCCCACCCAGCCCCACGCCCCTTCTAGATTTATCATTCTGCAGCCTGAGCGAGCGCCGTGCCTTGAGCCGTGTGCTGACCTCTTCCAGACAGAGTTCTTGACGTGGGTGGCTGCAAGAGAGGAGGAGGGGGGGACGCAGTATTTGAGATGAATAAGAGACAGAAGGTGGTCACGTGGCGGTGAGGTCAGAGTGCTGAACCTGTGCTGCTGATAGCCTAGGTTCGAATCCACGTGTCCGCTAACCCGTCATTAAACCGGGTTCTCAAGTACAGCGAGTGGATGGCGGCAAACGCACACACACACAAAAACACGAATTTGCTTTTTCACTCTGCCACAATTCCAGCTCTGAGAAGTTTTTTTTTGTTTAATCGTAACTGTTTTTGTTGTTGTTGTTGTTACTGTTACATAATCAGCATTCATCTCGTTAGCAGAGGCGCATGGGACAGCGCTCCCCCTCGCGTGTGGAGCCACAAAGGCCACTTACGGGGGGTGGGGTGGGGGTGGAAGGGGGGTGGGAAGGGGGGTGGGGAGGGGGGGTGAGGGTGGGAGGGGGGGTGGGGTGGGGGTGGGGAGGGGGGGGGTGGGAGGAGGGTGGTTGTTCACCAGAGGGCCTGCGATGGGAGTCCCTTCCGCGGTCGTTCTCGGACAACACGCGGCTCAACTACTCCGCGGGGCTCCACGTGGATTCGTCATGTCACGTGGCGCGATGCCCATAGCACGATTGGAACAAGCTGTGGCTGGGGGGTATCGGATGCAAAAATAAAAAAAATTAAACGAATAATACTAACAGACAGATAGGTGATCAGAGGGAGGGAGTGAGGAGCAGTACCTTTTGAAAGGCTGTTCTATTTATTTTGAAGAAAAAAAAAGATCTG